AAAAAAAGCTATAAAGGTAGATTAAAAAGTTGGGTACAAAGATGATTGCTACAAAGCTCTTAATAACAGTAAGAACCTGGAAACAACTTAAATGTCCAAGAACAAGGGCATGCAATCAATTGGCAGTTTCTGTTACCTCTATATAGTTAGCACAGGTTGCTTGGGTCACATTAATGATATAATGATGATAACAGCTAATATTTATGGAAGGTTTACTATGTGTTCATATGTGCTAAGCACAGTTCTAAGCATTTTAATCTTCACAACCCAATGAAGTAAGTACTATTACTCTCATGACAGAGATGAGGAAACTAATTCTAGAGGCTTGTATTCTTAGCCACTCTATCAGGTATTCAATAAATGTTTCTGCAATAAATTGAATGCCACAGCTGTGGATATGTAAATGAAAACACACACTCATCTGTATTTAGTTAAGTCTTGTTCCAAATCATACATATAACACGATCTCCATTATGGGAGAACAGCTCAAAAATTGATAGGAAAAAATGTTAACCATGGTTGATTTTCCCCCCCAAGTTTTTTACAATAAACGTGAATTACTTTACAATAAGAAAATGAAGTGTTTATAAGAAACACATGCAATCATATCCTAGGTAGGGTTAAACTCCCAGTAAAATTGCCATATTGCACATATCTTAATGAAGTTTGAATGTTAAATAAATTGTATACTTACTTTTAAAAAAAAAAGAAAGAAACACATGTAGTCAGTAATGCCGAGTGGCACCTTTGCCATTGGCTGTCATTATTTTAGGTAAAAGGATCTTTATTAGATGCTGAGCCTATTACCCAGCTTCAGAGTAGGAGCTGAAGGCAGCCTACACTATCACATCCTCAAAAACACTACGGAGTATAAACTTTGCTTATATTAATGTTTTTGAGTTAGTTTCTTATGCAGCTAAGTAGAGAGAAAACCCCAGAAATAGACCGGTCCCACTTGATCCAGAACTGGGAAAACAGCACCAGGCTCACAGTGGGAAGCTCTCACTTTACCCACTCCAAACGTGGACACGAAGCTCTAAGTGGGAAAAGTGAAATGGGAACTTGGAGAAACAAGAGGACGGTAGAAAACTGGGAACACATCCCTAGGAGAAAAGAAATGCAGGGATTGGTATGTAGTTTTGATTGAAGGAGAGTGTTAGGAACTCAAAGTTGTCACCTAAAAAGTTGAAAGCATGTAAAGGTGTTTAAACCCTTCAGAGGCAGAACAGGAGTAAGGGCTTGAAGGGGGAGGAAAAAAAACCGATGGGATCGTTGAGGCACCTTAATTACAGAAACAAGGAAGCAAGGTACAAGGTAAAAAGGGCTCTTTTAGGGGAGTTTGCCAAAAGTAGCTAAGACAACAGAAATCTTTGTACACTCTTAAAAACTCAAGAGGCCAGTATTCTGCGTCATCCTGACCTAACCCTTTACATACATAAGTACAAAAACACTGGTTTCTAGAGGGACGAGGGATCAAGTATACATTGGGCTCGATAGAATCAGTCTGGTGGGATGTAAACGGGAGTTGGTCAGAGGGGAGGACTCAGAAGACGGAGTCTACAGGCCCACTGAGACCTAGTTCTAGACGCAACCCTCGGTTGGGGAAGGAGGTGTGTGGCAAGGGAGGAGTGCTGAGCTTGGAGTTACTGGGTGTGGGGTCGGGGGTGTCAGGGTAGAGGGGGCGGCATTTGGGGGGTGATCTTAAGGAATCGGGGATGGTGGAGGCTGCACTGGGGTCCTAAGGAGAAGCTGTATCACCAGGGCGCTGTGACCCGTGATCATGGCACGTCCCCGGCCCAGGTTCTCATACCCTCCAAGGTGACGGTGTCCAGCTCTCGCTGGGAGTGCTCAGCCGCCGCCGTCGCCGTCTTGCCGTCAGCCTCCCCCGTTGACCCGCCACCCGCCGCCGCCTCCTCCTTCATCTCCACATCCTGGGGGCCCGGGGGCGGCGGTGGTTCCTGTTCCCCTCCGCCAGGCGGCGGCTTCGCCTTGTCCGCGCCGCGGCGCCGTGCTGAGCCCTCCTGCTTCATGGCGCCCGGGGTCGCGGCCTAGTCCGGGGTCCGAGGCCGGGGCCTCGCGTGAACCCTCGCACCAGACTAGGAACCGAGCCGGGCCTGCACACAAGCGCGGGCTCGCGTCGGGCCGCACGATGACGGAGCAGCTACAAACCCCTTCCCAGCGCTGGGCCTTCTGGGAAACGCCAGGCCCCGCGGGCCGATGGCCGAGTCAACAAAGGGGAAAAAAATCAACAGTCGAGGTGCAGGATGGGGGTGGATCTTCGAGGAAGGAGCGGGGAGGAGCCTCTTATGGGTGTGTGGGTGTGTGGGGCTTTCTTTGGAGTGCCTGTGCGTGCGTGTGTGTGCGTGTGTGCGTGTGTGTGTGTGTGTGTGTGTGTGTTTTGTTTTTCCCTCTCCTGAGTGTATTTTTGGACATGTCCACGAGGTGTGTGTGTGTGTGTGTGTGTTTTGTTTTTCCCTCTCCTGAGTGTATTTTTGGACATGTCCACGAGGTGTGTGTGTGTGTGTGTGTGTGTGTGTGTGTGTGTGTGTGTGTGTGTTTTGTTTTTTTCCCCTCCTGAGTGTATTTTTGGACATGTCCACGAGAGGTCCCTTTAGGCTCTAATCTGGGTTACATCGGACTCTAAGAGCACCCCAACCAGCGTAGAGCAGCAGGTAAGGACTATCGGAACGCAGGGCGTGATGATGCCTTGAGTGTCCCGGCGGGGTTCTTGTCCAAACTCGCTCAATTTGCTCCGCCACCGGCTGGTGTCGCCTTCGACATCTGCAAGTCTCGCCCTGAACAGCTGCCCGGTGCATCCGGCGCGAGGGAATTAAAGAAGCTGGGAAAGAGGGATGTGGAGCTAAGCTGTTTGGTTTAAAATAAACCCAAACTGGAGAGTAGGAAGAACACTATGGGATTCAGACTTCCTTGGCAGATTTTAGCTAGTGCTAAAAATAAGCAGCCTGGGAATGTGGATAGGCGTAGAGTGCATTTGTGTACCATCACTTTGGTTTAATAAAGTTTAGGGGTCTGCTCTATGTATGGCCTAGGGCTAGCGCATTCGGGGGGTGGGATGGTGAAGAACAGCTCTAGAGGGCCTGCCAAGTGGCTCAGTTGGTTAAGAGTTGGCTTAAGAGCACGAGCTCATAGGAGCTCTGAACAACAGGGCCACCAGTTGGATTCCCACATGGGCCAGTGATGCTGCCCTGGAGCTGAGCTGTCGCTGAGCTGCCAATAGGTGGCAGGATGGCTCAGGGTGTGTAACAAGATTGCCTGTTCTATGGTGGGCTATGCCCACCCGCAGCTAAGACTGAGCTCTGCACCTTGAGCTGAGCTGCTGCCGGGATGGCTCAGTAGAGAGAGCATGCGCTCTTAACAACAAGGCTGCTGGTTTGACTCCCACATGGGATGGTGGCTATGCCCACCCACAATTAAGATTGAATACAGCACCTGGAGCTTAGAGGCCACCAGCTGCTGACAGGAAGCCAGATGGCGACTGGTGCCCTCCACAATTAAGATTGAAGAACAACAACTTGGCTAGTCCCCTTCCCCGATTCCCTAACACTGTTCTCCTCCCCCAATTCCCCAATAAAATCTTAAAAAAAAAAAAAGAACATCTCTAGAATGCATTTTGCTGGGAAGTTCTGCATTGGGTTGCTGCGTATTGTAGAGGCTGGAGGAAAGAGGTGAATGTTCCTGTTGGTGGCAGAAGCTTCAGGGAGTCCGTTGGGGTGCCTGTATGCATCCAGACAGACGTTGAAATGGGGAACAGAATAATAATGTACCTAAGGAGAGCCTGAGAATCCCCCACGGAAAGGAAATTAGACCAGAAATCCTGTCCACTTATTTTACAAAGGAATCCTCCAGTGATTCTTCAGGAGGAGGATACATGTTCCAATTTTTAAAGAAAAAACAAAAACTCTCTCTCCTCTTGGAACTTTTATCTCTTGCATAAGTGGAAGTCCTGAGTTTTAGACCAGGTCAGACCCTCCAAGACAATCTAGCTCTGTCGTAAGGTCCTAGAAGGCATAGAACATATTTTGACTATATTCTCCGTTATATTTATGTATAGAAAGGAAATTCTTTGTATTGCCCTTTTCATACTATTGCACCAAACAGCTCTTTGCACTCAACAGCCTCTTGCTAAATGGAAAACTGTGTGCTCCACTTTTAGGGAACATGCCTTGACCAATTCCTCCGTAACTATCTCCCTTCCCCCTAGGACTGGGATAATAGGACTTTTGAATCATCATTGGAATAAACTCATTAAAGCCTTTTCATATTGTGGTATCTGTAACTGAAACTGAAGGTGGGGGAGAATAGTGAAGAAAGAAACAGATGAGCTTTGTTGTTCAGCCTTATGAAGTTACCCTTCTGGATAGTTAGGGTGTTAGCTCACCTCCCTAATACGTTTACATCACAAAAGAAAAGCAATCAAGTCAGCAAGTGACTACCCAGTATGTCCTTGAGCAATATTGTAAGGCCTTGAAGATGCCCCAGAATGAGAGAGGATGGCTTAACACAAAGCCTTTGGCAGTTGGTCATGAATTCTTGGTGTGTGAGGAAGCTAACCAAGGCTAAGAAGGGGGTGAGTCTGACTTCTGGCACCAAAAACCTTGGAGAAATTATTCTATCCATAAAGCTATTTTAAAAGAGATTGGTGAAACATGTTAAAACCCAGCTTTGGGCAGAGGAGGATGGTATAAACTTAGCAATTTTATGAGATTGCAATATCCATATTAGCAGGACCATATGCCAAGCCTTCCATCACTTCCTCCCACAGCCAACCTGAATTGAGGGCAGAAGAGGGAAAGGCGAAATCAAAAGATAACATCACAATTTCTTTTTAAAAGTTTTGGGTCAGTCTTATTTTGGGGTTCCATTTTTTTTAAGACCTATTTGCATTTTCTATTCAAGAAACTTGAAAGTTGTCTTACTCTTGTTTTGGGCTCGTACCATGTATCTCTAGGTCTTTGTCTTTCCCAGTTGCTCAACCCAAGTCCAGAGGACCCCGAAGGCTCCTCTTTGAAGACAAGCTGCTTTGATGACCTTTTCACTTTAGAATCTAGAGCCCACATTCTATACCCTGATAGTTCTCTGAGCATTTTCCAGCTCCTGCCCCAGATGCTGGCCTGAGGACAGTATAATAGTGTTCATGTTGATACGATCTATATGTAGTACGATAATGTCTATTTTCTTTTCTGGCACAAGTTAAGAATTTCCTCATGATAGCTTCTTTAAAGAAAAACACCAAAAGACATTTCATCCAAAGTGAAATAATATTTCCCATTAATTCCAGTAAAGCTTGATTTTGGGGAGCATAAACAGGAGGTACTGGGACAGGAAATTAATTGATTTTGGTTTTGTTGAAATAGTTCATAGTTTTAAATCCTACTTTCAGAGGGTTTAAGCATCAACAGATAGGCTTAGCGGAGGCCAGGGGAGATACAGAGGGACAAATGGAAATTGATTATCTTGGGGGATCACCTAGGGTTTCCGTCATCCTCAGCCTGGTGGCTCTGCAATGCCCTTAGATGTTCAGGACACAGCACAATGAGGTAGGAAAGTTATTAGGGAAACGGGAAGCAGATGGAAAAGACAAGTCAGGAGTCCTTGGTCAGCAACTGCAGGAGAGAGAGGCCCGCATAAAGGGCACAGAGGTCAGGGAGGGTGTCTGGGTCCCACGTGTACTGGGGGCCTGATCTCTGCACTTCCAGGCCGCTCAGCCCCACAAGGGCCTCTGTGAGGGTCAGGTCCTCTTCCCCAAGAGAGGAGAGCAGGTCAGGTTGCAGGGGGAAAACACCCTCTTTATCCTGTAGAAAATTCTGTTCCATTGTGCTCTCCACCTGGAAGGAACCAAAATAGCATGTAAAGAAAGAACTGGAAACCTCTCCTTTTTTCTCCTAACTCATAAAAACCATAAAGATGGCTACCTTTCTCTTTTATAACTACTTTCATCACAACTCCATCTAAGCCTTTTAATAACCTGTGCTGTGGGCAGCATGTTTATTTTTAGCCCCATTTTCCAGAGGAGTGAGTTGAGGCAGACCCAGAGACATTAAAAGATTTGCTCACGTCACTTGACTAGGAATAAGCAAAGCCAGAGTTTTCTGTCTCTTCTCCCAAAAGCATGCTGAAAAACCCAGATAACTGCCCAGAAATTTACTCTTTTACCTCTAGTTGTGAAGTAACAAGAAGAAAGAAACATGGAGAGAAATAAGAAGCGGGCATGAGGTTCTGGGATAAGACAGAGGCCCTCTAGGCTGGTTCTGTCCTTAAGCTAAGTTTCTATGTTTCCAACGGTTCTAGCTGACTCCCCCCAAACTCTCCCCGGTATCCGCCGTTTTTTTTCTCACAAGCTTTAGTTGCACAGGTAGGATCTTTTTCTCCATGGATTTCAACAGCAGCTTCTGTTGGGCTTCACTCAACTCTGGCAAAAAAAGTAGAGAAAGAGATGTGTGTTGTTGGTGCAAAGGGGACTCCAGGTTCCAAATGGGTACACTTCCAGACTTTTAGCATTAATTAATTCATACATTCATCCGTGGCTGAATGCTTGCTTGCTCTGTGCCAGGCACCTTCACTGGCTGGCTGTGTTAGGTAAAAATCGTACTCCCTTCACTCAAGCAACTTGCAGTCTAGTGGAGAAGAAAAAGGAACGTGCAAACACAATACAGGGTGTTAAGGGTGCCATGGCTGAGGGGTCTACTTTGGTCTTGGTGTTTGAGGGCAGGCTTCTTAAGGGAAAAGACAGCTTATACCTGAAGGACCAGAGAGTTCTTCTAAGTGGGGGAAAGGAAAGTTTCATGTAGAGGGAAGAAAAGAATTCAGGGGCAAGATCAGAAGATGTTACCCTCTGAAATTAAAGCTAACAAATACCAATATAAAAGTGATGAGCTTAGCTATATGTTGAAGTTTTAAATGTGTGGCTGGTAATGAGTCGCCGGCGACGGCGTAGGCTGCACTCCCTGTGGCAGTGGGTTGCCATGGGCTACCGTATGTAGCCAGCAGCCAGCGTGAGCGGCCAGCAGCCAGTGTGAGTGGCCAGCAGCCGCAGTGAGCGGCCGTCCAGAAGCCGGCGACTGATCTACCTCGCCAGAGAAGAGCACAATGATGGTGCCAACTTGGGCCAGTGAAGCAACATCCTCCACAACTAGATTGAAGAACAAAACGACAGCAACTTGTCTGTTCCCCTTCCCCCAATTCCCCAGCACTGTTCCCATCCCCCCAATTCCCCAATAAAAAAAAATCTTTAAAAAAAATGATAATAAATGTGTGGCTGGTAAAACTAGGGTTACATACATCTCAACCTCTATTAGCAAGACTAGTCCATCTTCTCAGACTATCCCAGGTGACCAAGTGTATCCTTAGGAATGAAACCAATTTTTTATCATGTAGATATAAAGTACTTAACTGTGGTATAATGTGCCTGGCATTCATTCATTTGTTCATTCATTCATTCATTCATTCATTCATTCAGTGATTCATTCCAATCACTGGTATATAGATGAAGACCTTACTCCCTACTTACCTGTTAGGGCTCCAAGGAAATAGAGAACGGCACCCATAGCCTCCTTTGATAGTAGGATATCTTTTGGGAGTGCCTCCAGTGTCACTTCGTGTCCTTTGTCTAGAGCCCCTTCAAGCTGTGGGGAAGGCAGGTGGCTACTTAAGATGACACAGGTAAGGGGCCCAGCATGGTGTCTGGCACATAACAATCCCTTGACATGTGTTAACTTTCTCCCATTTCCTCATTTCTTTTTCAACGTAGGAAGTCCTGAAAATATCGGGTTCCTGGGTTCCTTGGTCCCTGAGCCTTGGACCCAGGAAGGGAAAGATTCCAGCCGCCTTCCAAGAGAGAGTCCTGCTGGCCTGCTGCCTCCCTCTGTCCATCAGGAGAGAGCATGTACCTTGGGGGAGTCTGCACTGTTTGCCCTTCTTCACAGGGACAACGGAGCAGCTGGGGCCTGGCAGCCTGGGGAGCCCTTGGCCAGCCTTGGGGAAGGCATCTGCTGTCAAGTCCCCTGGCCACAGACTACCTTCTACAGGTGTCAGATCGCCCAACCAGCTGCAAGGCCCACACACCCCTCCACCCAAAACCTTCTATGTCCCCCGCTATTCCTCCCCCGCTTCTACTGGGACCTCACCGTGAGCTCCAGGTCTTCTAGCTCCTTTTTCTTCCCTAGGAGTTTGCTGAGGGAGGTGAGCAGCGATCCTTGCCCCATGCGGCTCAGCTTCTCCACTTCTCGGGTCTCTCTTTGAATCTCTTCTTTTAGCGTACTGAAGTCACCGTGCACCTCCCCTATGGGGACAGTAAACATGGCAAACAAACTGCCCTCCACCTGGCACCCTCCCCATTCAGTCAGCTTTCTCCCTAAACGCTCCTTCCTGTAGCCCTTCTCAGGACTCATGCTCTGCTCCCAGCTTGAGCTGGGCCTTTCTTTTTTCTTGACCAAGGAACACAGTTATGAAGTTATCCATCAGCTCTGACCAGAGCGGTGTATGTGTGTAGGGGAGGTTAGGAGTGAGGAAGTGCGCCGTGACCCACATTATCGTCTAAGCCAGCAGTTCATTCTCCTTGAGTTCCCCCGTCCCATCCTGGGTCAGCAGACAGTGGACTTCCCTTTCTCTAAGACTCCAGCTAAAAATTGAGAAGGAAGGTCTGTGTCCCCTTCTCATGAGTTAGTTGGCAAAGAAAAATAACTCTGGCGACTGAGTGAAGGCCAGGATTAGACCGCTCCAGAGAGCCCTGGGTCTATGTCCAGGGATGTGGGCAGATCAGGGATGGCTTGAGCCTTGGCCTGACCCTCTAGGGGCCTGGCACCCAAGGACTGCTTCCAGCCTGCTTTGGAGAGAGTGGCTTCCTGGAAGTAGTGCCAATCTCCCGGACCTGGGACTCAGCACTTGTCTTCCCTTCCCTCCACCCCAGAATGTCTCCCACTGCCTTCATGCCCAAGTCTTGGGAGAAACTCACAAAATTCCTTACCAACATCAGATGCCTGGATAACTGAGGGGAAAACAAAAACAAAGGACGTTAAGAATGTGATGCTCTAAAACAGTAGCATAACCAGGGGATGAGACATTAATGGGGGTTAGGAAATAGGTCCTGTCTCCTGGGATGTCCCAATAAGCTTAAGGATACTCTTGCCCCATTTGTGGGAGGCAGGAATGGGTCAGGAGAAAAGCTAATGCAACGGGAAGAGGGGCACCTGGATTGAGTTGTCAACACCGTGACTCAGAGACTCCTGCCCCAGGTGCTGGGCGGTGGCGTTGCAGATGTGTGTGTAACAGGTTATAGCTACTAACGAACGTCCTCAAGGACAGAGGTCTGTGGCATCAGACCACCTGGCCATCTTGTCTGGAGACTTTCCCTTTGCATTGCTTTACCCTAAGCTATTGGAATTTCTGCCATGTTTCAGGGACAATTGTTTGCTGAGATCTGCTCTGCTATGTTCCCTGTCAGTCCCATGGAGAAGGGAAGAAAAAGATCGGAGTTTTAAAATTCTGAATCAAAACAGTGACAGTGAAATGACAGGAAACACTTACGGATGAACTTCTCCTCTTCTGACTTTTCTGAAGACAGAAACAAAGCACGTATGTCAGCATAAAACCTATTTGTGCCTTTTTTATCTAGAGCAGTTGTCTAGGCAGCTTTATCAGCGATCATTACAAAAACACTTGGAGACTAGGTTAGCTCATCTGCCCCCGCAATTTGGGCACACACACTGTCTCTAAGTCTTATTCCTGCTTCCGACGCTGCCTTTTGGTCTCTGCCTTTCTGTTTCTCTGTCTCTCTTGGGTGGTATTTATATGCTTCTATCTGTCTTTCCTAAAGTTGCCGATAGAAATTTTTAGGGACTTGGGAAACAAAACCAGGGGCTCCTTGGGAAATTACGGTATGCACTATTAGAAGGTACAGGGTTTTAGCAGATCATGTCAGGGATAGGGCAGAAGATGTGGGGAGCCAGGAAGCAGTTTCACTTACCTCCCGGAGGGAAGGTTTGCATGTTGTCATTGTAGATATGTGGAATTTCTGTAAGGAGTGGGAGAGGGGAGAGTAGGACTCTTAACAGCTGTTCCACCTTTGTTTCTCTAGCCTCAAGTCTCCTGGCTCTTTTAAGGGCTAGGGCCCTGCCCTCAAATGCCTCACCTAATCCCCAGCTCCTCCTCTATTGCTGGAAGTAATCCATTCTTCCTCTGTAAATCCTTTCTTGTGATAGCCCTATTTTCTCTCTTGCATTCAAGTACGGGTGTCTGTGCCTGCTTTCTCCATTGGCCACAGACTTCTTGAAGCAGAGGCTGTGTTGGTTCTCCCTGTGCCTCTCCCCGCAGCTGACAATGCCTAATGCCCAGGAGATGCTCAGAACCAGGAGGTCCTTCACTCCCTCTTTAGAGCAGCCCCTGCTGTTCTGACTCAGGCAGCTGGACCTCAATGCAACACACGCCTTCACTCATTCCCTGACATTGCCACAAGAGCGCACCAGGCTGCCTTAGTCTTGCTGCGGGTAATTCTTGTCTTGAAGGGGAGAACAGGCCGGTGTCTGCTTACCCCACTCATCTTTGCCTTTGACCATCAGCTGTCTTACTCGAAAGGCCAGGATGCAGCCCTTAGGGATGGTGATAGCCTCCTTGTGGTTTATGGATCCCTAGGATTAGACAGTGAGCATTTGTGAATCTGCAGAGATCCTGAGTGTGAGACATTGGGAGTGGGGGTGGGGGAGCAAGTGGAACGTCAGGCCTGGGAGCCTCTGCGGAGATGAGAAGTTGGGAACCCTTCGCTGGTGTCTCTGATCACCTTTCCACCCATTCCAGACTCCATGGAGTGAACCCCAAAGCTCTTCTGCTCATTTCCTCTGATCATCCCTCTAACGATCTATCTCTCTTTTTCTGGTTCAGACACATGAAGGAACTGGGCAGACCTGCCCCATCACCTGCCTGTGCATCCCTGTCCCACCTTATTGCTTCCATTCAGGCCCTGGTTCCTTCTTCCTCTTTGCCATCCATCCCATGCTCACTTCCTTCAAGAAGCCTTCTATGACTAACCCCTCCTCCTAGTTCCAACTCATCCCTTGAATATTTATACAAATGGATATAGGTATGTAGAGCATTACTTATTTACATAGAATTTTCCAAGTCTGTGTTTTCTGGGCTTTAATCTATGTGCCTCCTCCATGAGATTGAGAACTTTCTAAGAACAAGCATGTCTCTCCTGTAGATTGGGAGCACCATGAGGAAAAACCCATGACTATGAGTTTTCCTTCCCTGCAAGTCCCCTGTGGCATGTGGCACAGGGATCTGCCACACTGGGCACCACTGACCAGAGAGAGGGTTTGTGTCTGGCTAGCTGGGGCCTGTATCTTGAAGAGCAGGGCTAAGGTGTGGGTCCTTTACAGCATCGTGGGTGGGCACTGATGGGGCGAAGTTAATGCAGCCTCTGAGGAGAGGCTGAATGTAAGTGTGTGTGTGTGTGTGTGTGTGTGTTCGAGCCAAACCTGTAGCCCCAACGGTGCGAAGAATGGGAGGGAAAAGCCACCCTCTGCCTTGCCGGCTCTCTCCAGAGTGACCTCCTGCACGGTCTCCACCACCTCCATCACCACATACAGGTTCTCTCCTCGCTTGCGCATCTCCTTCAGGAAAGGATGCTCTGCTGCCAGCTTCCTGTGCAGGAGAAACGAGGGCATAATCCAGAGCTGGTCCCTGCCCGGGCCAGGCCTTCTCTTTCCTTCTCTCATTCCCAGGAGTAGACACAGTGGGAAGGAGGGAGGACTCTGGAGGAACCCAGATCTCCACTTACTAGCAGGGCAGCTCCTCTGAGTCTTAGGGCCTCATCTATAAAATGAAGATGATGACACCTACCTCCAGGGTGTTGAGACAGAGACTGGGCAGTCATCTGGCTTAGCACCTGGCCCAGAACAGGGCCTCATGGTTGCTTCTTTCTCCATTTTCCCTTGGCCCCAGGGTGGATTCCCCTCTCTTTCCTCCATTTCTTAGCCTTGTTCATGTCTTCTGGCGTCCTTCGTCTCCATCTCTTATCCTCTCTCTTGCTATTAACACCAGTCCCCCTCTCCACTTGCTTACATATAGAAACATGTTCTTTAATCTTGCTGTTCCCTCAAATTGCCATTTTTGTTTCTTTCCTTCATTGACAAATATCTCAACAGATATGCCCATACCCATTGTCTTTACTTCCTCACTGCCTCCTCCTAAACTCTTTATAATCTGGCTTCCATTTCCACTACTCAACTGAAATCGTAATGACCTCCCACCCTCCAAACTCAAAGACCTTCCCTAACTGTGCAACCTTGCATCGTGCTACCCAAACCCTCCATGCGATGCTGACTTCTGGCCTCCGGTCACACTGTTTCCATCTTTCTGGCTTCTAAGTCCTATCCATTCTGTCTGCATCTCATTCCCTAGTTTCTTTAGTTCCCTAAGATTTTGTTCTCTAGGATTCTCTTCTCAGTTCTCTGCTCTCTGAACTCCCTCCAACAGCTTGCCCCCGTTCCTCTAGTTTCCATTTTTGTGTTGCCAACCACCATGTATGCATCTCCCCCTTGACTTCCCTCCTGAGCGCCAGATCCTCTTTTCCAAATACCTATAAAATGTCTTTAATTGAGATGTAATTGACATATAACATTGTACTAGTTTATGTGTACAACATGATTTCCCCCCCACAACATAGTGATTTGATATATGTTTACAGTGGGAAATGAATAACTACAATGAGTTTAGTTAGCATCCATCATTACACAGTTACAAATATTTTTCTTCTTATGATGAGAACTTACGAGATCTACTCTATCGTCACTCCAACTACCTGTTGAACACTCTTACCTGTTGTCTCAGTGGAGCCACAAGCTCAAAGAGTCCAAAAGGAACTCACAGTCTTTCTCTCCAAATATGCTGCTAAACTCAGTCTTCCTGTTTCTATTAATGTCATCACTTGGGTCAAACCTCAGAGTCATCTTTGTGTTTTTATTCCTATATATTTAATTAATTTACTTATTTAAATAAAATTATATATATTTAAGGTGCACAACATGTTTTGATATAGATATACATAGACAAATGATTACGACAGTCAAGCTGATCAACACGTCCAGCTCAAAGCTACCATTTTTGCATGTGTGGTGAGAGCACCTGAAATCTACTTTTAGTAAATTTCCAGCATACAATGTAGAATTATTAACTAGAGTCATCGGACTGTACCTTAGATCTCTGTCAGTCATCTTTTAAAATTTTAATTATTATTTTTTTAACTTTTCAATTACAGTTGACACTCAGTATTATTTTATATTTGTTTCAGGTGTACAGCCATAGTGGTTAGACATTTATATAATTTATGAAGTGATCCCCCCCGATAAGTCTAGTACCTACCGGGCACTATACCTAGTTATTATAATATTCTCGACTATATTCCCTACATTATACTTTATGTCCCTGTGACTATTTTGTAACTGGCAATTTGTACTTCCGAATCCCTTCACTTTTTTCACCCAGCCTCCCAACTCCCTTCCATCTAGTAACCATCAGTTCATTCCCTATATCTATCAGTCGTTTCTGCTTTTTTTTTTTCTATTTGTTTATTTTGTTCTTTAGATTCCACATATAAGTGAGATCAGATAGCATTTGTCTCTCTCTGTCTGACTTATTTCACCCTCTGGGTCCATACATGTTGTCACATATCAGCTTCATCTTTAACAAAGCCCACATCTTCACCCTGCAATCAGCTGCCAAGTCCAGTTCTTTCTGCCGTTCCAGAGGCCTGGCCCCTCCCTTTCCATTCTGACTGCTCTCCCCAACTCAGCTTATCATTTTATGTCTCTGTTGGACAGTGAGACAGTGTCATACCCAGTCCGCTTGCTTTAAACCTCTGTCCTTCCTCCTCCATCTGGCCAGATTAATCATGACACACATCAGAGCACCATCAGGGTCTCCCTGGTGCCTACAGAATAGTTGCACCTCCTGGGTCATGACTGGAGCACCCGGGGCCCCCATGGTCTGGGCCCCCCCTACATCTCCCACTTGTTCCACTCATACCTCTTCGGCTCCTGCCAAACCAGCTAGTCATGGCCCCTTTAGGTTTTGGGATTTCTCACCTGTGTGCTGTATTTATGCCCTTCTCCTGGACCTGGATGTCCAATTTCTACTCATTTTTCAAGGTCTAGATCATGGGCTGCCTCCTCTGTGAAGTCTGTCCTCATTTCCCCCGCCAGAGGTCCCCGTGACCTGCCATAAAACTCAGGCAAACCCCTCCTATTGCACTTAGCACTTCTAGTTACTGTTGTACATTTTTTTCACACTCCCAGATCACAAGTTTCTTGGACCCGGGTGTTCTAGTGCACCCCAGCACCTAGTAGGGTGCTTTGAACTCAGTGAGGATATACAAATGTTTACTGGATGACTTCCCAAGCACCCCAGTCCTTTCTTCCTGTACCCGCAGCCCTCATCTCCTTTCAACCACCACTTAGCTACTTAAAAGTCAGTTCCCCTGTCAAACCAGACATCTGAGGTGCCCAGCATCAGCATGGCATCTGCCACACCCCTTGCGCTGCTGGGCGACATTCCCAAGGGCTGCCTGGTGTGTGACTGGGCGGGAGGCTTCATATATGGGAGCAGAATGCTGTGCTCAAGCCACAGTGGGGGTCAGTTAAGACCCCTTCCCTTTTTAGTGTGTTCCATAGTCATAGGGTAGGAAGAAACCCTAGAGATTTTCATCCAACCCCATCATTTTTCAGAAAACAAAGCTGAGGTCCTGAGAGAAATGACTTTTCCAAAGTCACATGGCAGGTTAATGTGAACACACTCATCCTCGTTGTGTGTGATAGTGGGGACATGGTACCAGAGGTAGTGGAAGGATGGGGGGAGTGGTTAGGAAAAGGCCTAGAGGCACCCATAGGCCAGAAGGGTCATCTTCAAGAGCTACCTTTAACTCAGGGCCCACCCACCCCATCCTGGTAGCCTCCCAGCCCTGCCCAGTCTCACCTCTCCTCGTGCAAGGTCTCCAGGGCCTTGGGAGCCACACTGAGTGTCTGGACCTCCAGGGTGCTGTTCCGAGACAGCCCTGCAGTCCCTGTCACCTTGACTGTCCTTGGCACATCCACATGTCCCTCCACTCGGGCATCCAGCATGTTCTTAAAGGCAAAGTTCCCAGAGTCTGTTGGATCTACAGGAGGGAGAAGACGAAGGAGGCTGGGCTGAGAGGCATCTATCTCCCTTCCTCCACCTCCTGTGACAACTCTGGGCTAGATGACACCTAACCACATCTAGGCAGAGGAAGCTTCGGGGTCCTCGTCGTAGGCTGGTGCTAGGCCCCCATCCCCCAGGACCCAATCCCACACCCGAGGCTGACCTGAAGGTGAGTTGCCGGGTTCAAGCACATCCAGGAGGGTGTAGTCTGTGTGCACGTACCGGGCACCCCAGAAAAGCGTGCTCTTCCTCTTCCTCAGCACCAGGCAGAAGGGGTGGAAGTGCTTGAAGTCGATGAGGCTGTCAAGGGGTGTCAGGTCCCCTCGAGGGTTTAGCTGTCTGGTAAGAGCCCGGGTGACATTTTCAAACATGGTCATTGTCTCTGGCGGGGAAAGGAAAAGAAGAGTAACCAGTTGGGAGACCTGGACATGGTAAGGCTCCTGCAGAGAGAGATCACCAGCTCTTGGTGGGTGGGTGGATGGGTGGGGCACCCTTCAGGATTCCTGGATCCTCAAAATGTTAGAGCTGAAAGGAACCATCTTATGATAAGGAAACGGGGCCTGGGGATCTGAGACAACTTGCCGGAAGCCACACGGCTGGCTGGAGAAGCCGGACCTGCTCTTTGTCAAGGACTCTTTGCTCACACCACACTCATTTTCTTCACAGATTTGGAGCCTGGCTGGCGCATTTCATTAGTAATGGGAGTAAAGCTATGCCTACCTTGTCTTCCTAGAGAACTGTAACAGCCAGGATGCAGGGACGCCAGGGGAGGGAAGCAGGAGGGCCTGGGAAGGCAGTTGCCCCTTTTTGGGGTAAGGATCACTTCCTTGACTCTACTTCCCCTGTGCCCCCCTCCTGGCTGCTGAATGTGGGGACCCACTGCCCTTCAGGTCCTGCCCAGGAGATCAGGCATTTCACTGATTGCCCCATTTGCTTCCCCTCTGCTTAAAATACCCTCCTTCCAATCTAGAGCATCCCTATTCATCCTTGAAGACAATTCGGGTCACCTCCTCTGTGATCTCTTCCCTCACCCTTTCAGACAGCTAGTGACGCCACCCCATGTCCCCAAAACTCTTTGTACGTGCCTTTCTGAAACACCTGCCACCTCGTGTTGTTATGATCTGTTCACCTGCCTCTCTCGCCTACTCAACTGTGACCTCCAGAGGGCAGGAAATGGGTCTTAGTCATCTCCGTAGCATCAGCACCAGGCATAGTGCCTGGCACAGACTTGGAGCTTGGCAAATATGTACAGAAAGAATGAATGAACGAACGAATGAATGTGGCGCTAGGAGTCATGCTGGGGTGAGAGGGCCCTGGAGAATGTGGGACCTGCAAAAGCCTGAGGTTCACAATCTTAGGTCTCTGTGTTTGCGGTTCAAGTCCAGGTGCTCTGGCTGGAGGGGCCAGCTAGCACACAGCCGGATTATCCTCGTGGGTGGAAGAGGACACACCAGCTGGTCTGGAACCGCCTCACCTCCCCTGTAAGCACCCCAGAGAATCAGGGAAGCAGGAGGCGTGTGCGCAGATGTATGGAGCCGTTCTGCCAGCCACATAAGCTCCCCTCATTCCTAGGAGAGCCAGGATGGACAGGATAGCCCCCTGGGGCCAGCCAGATTCACTGGGAGGGACTCGGGCGACTGCAGTCTCCTCCTCACCAGGGAGATACTCACAGCGCCAATTGTCCATTCTCTCCCCAAGGCCTATCGGGCTACCTACCTGATTGGGTTTTAGGGGACTCCTAGGCCCTTCTTGACCCACCCATGTTCTTGTTCATCCCTAGAACACCCCCTGCCTTCTCCACTGTCATTAAGCTCTTACCAGGGAGCGGTGCTAGGTCCTGTCTCGCAGCTGTGTCTGAGGTGAGGGCCCAGGACTCACTCGGTCTGGCAGTTGAGATAGTGACTGCCCCTCACCAGGACAGGCTGCTGCTTTATGCCCTGTGGAGGCAAGGATGTAGGTAGGCTTCTAGGGACCCCACCCCTGTCCCACTCCACTTCCGGGATAACAGCATCAACCTGTTCCATGTGTGCCCTGCCCCAGGCCCTGAGGGGGTGGGAAGCTGCCAGGCAGGTGCCAGCGTGGGTGGGGGAAGCCAAGACCAGAGAGAAGTGGCAACCAAGTTTGGTTTGATGGCTGAGAGGAGCGGAAGGAAGATGCCTTTGGGAGAAGGG